CTCTTCGTGCAAGCCCTCTCCTGCCCACCTGAACCTTATGTCTTCCAGCTCTGGCATCTTCTGTGGCTCCCACCTGGCTGAGAGCCTCACACCTTCGCGGAGAAGTGCAGCCACCAGCCTTGGCTCCCATGGGTGCCTGCACCACCAACTGGTGCCTAAAAGGTGACAGGTCAAGATTTCTGTAATGAAGTATACTACGTTTCTATAGTCAGCTTGCTTTCCCTTTCTCAATTTCAAATCTCCTTCACACTCCTCAAGCTTTGGGGGCCCTCATCTCCCCGTTACTCTCAGCTGACCTCGCCTCCTACCTTAGACAAAATAGAAGCCCTCAGGATGGAAACTGCTCCCACACACACCCACCACCTTTTCTCCTCGTTACCAAGGAAGACGGACCTACACCCCTAAGACCACCCTCCTCCCCAGACTCTGAATAATTCCTTCACTTCCTGTCTTGGAACTCACCCCCCACCCCTCCCATCCCAACAGTTAGACTTGCTTGTCCTTGAAACACCTCCTTAACTCCACTCCCTTTCCAGCGTCAGCCTTCCCTCCTGCACAGCACAACTTCGCCCTCTCTCCTCCACTGGGCAGCCCCTCCTGGAAGCGCCGCCCCAGGCTGCACTCTCCCAGGTCAGGACCAGGACAACGCACCTGCCTGTGCCTGTCCGGCCTCTTCCCCTCCGTCATCTCACCTGCTCCCACAGCTTTAATTACACCCCACACCCAAGGCTCCCAAACCTTGCCTCCCCACCCCCGGCCGCACCAAATACGTAATAGGTGTTCAATAAATATTAAAAAAATGCCATTGTGGAGCCGGCCCCATGGCGTAGTGGTTAAGTTCGGTGTGCTCCGCTTCCGTGGCCTGGATTCAGTTCCCAGGCTTGGACATACGCCACTCATCAGGGGCCATGCTGTGGTGGCGACCCATACACAAAACAGAGGAAGACTGGCAACAGATGTTAGCTCAGGGCGAATCTTCCTCAAGCAAAAAGAGGAAGATTGGCAACAGATGTTAGCCCAGCGTGAATCTTCCTCAGCAAAAAAAAAAAAAAAAAAAAAAAAAAAAAAAAAAAGAAATGCCATTGTACTCCTGCCACTCTGGACACCACCTGCTCTGGGTCTCGACTGGGTTCCCATCTGCAAATTCCCTGCCAGCCCTCTGATGTCCCTGAGCAGACCCAGCAACGCTCTGCTTCCCTTTGGCAGACTCAACTGGGTGAGTTACCTCCAAAGGGCAGAAGTCACTGTCCACCGCAATTTAGCAGAAAAACTCACAAATCTCACAAGGAGAAAAGAGACTGACTTTTTTAAAAAGAACATTACAAAGTCATCTCTCTGAGACTGCAGGCTGTCTTCTGTCCTCCAGATCAGCAGCTTTCCAACCGTTTCTACGAATATAAGCTCAATGTCCCGGGAAAGTGGAGTAGCAGAGGTGCGGGAAGAGGGGTGGGGGCGGCCTGGGTGGGGACCCCCTTCCCAATCCTGCCCATCCACACACCCTGCCCCCTCCTGGAGAATCCAAACCCATCTTTCCTCTGGGCCCCATCGCTAGCAAACACAAGCAATGCCCAAGCTCTTTCGACATGGACTGATATTCTCACCTACTTGTGTGCCAGGGTCACACTTACCATGACCCTGAGCTACAAAAGTGCCCTTGAGGTTGGCAGCTTGCACCGTGCTTAGTGCTGCGGGGTTCTGCAGCAAACATGATGAGGTGCACATCACTGACAAGAGTTGGCACCTGAGAAGAGAAATCACACAGGGCTCTGGGCAGCACGCTGCAAGCTCGTGACCCCTGGTTACTGCAAAGGAATAACTCACTTCAGAGCAGAGAGAAAACCTGAGCCTGAATGAGAGTCCTGAGTACTGAACAGACAGGCCATCCCTCAGCCTTTCTTCCTACTGGGAACCCACGTCTGGGCAGACACGTCACTTAACCCGTCAGTCAGTGCCTTGCGGTCCGGCCTGCACCTCCCACCCTGACAGCACTCATCAGAGCGGACGCAGCTCATGCTGAAGCTTAACTGGTGACCGGGCCAGTGTCCACGCTGACGTCTACGCTTCGCTAGCAAGATGAGCTCTGGGGATTAGCAGCTTGCCCAGGGTCTCCCGCATGTTGCGGAGCTGGGCAAACTCAGGTTTCCAGCCTCCTGAGCCAGTCATAAGTCCTCTTCCAACTGGGTTTTGCCACAGTAACTGGGAGAAAAAAGGACCCACGACAGTTCCGGATGTGCCAGTTTTGTCCAATTCAGTGACTCAGGAACCACTAAGAACTGGCTTGCACAAGCCTTCTTGGGCTCAAGGCCTAGGGGGTATGTAGCTTAAAATGAGCCTCCCCGGGCCGGCCCGGTGGCGTAGTGGTTAAGCTTGTGTGCTCCGCTTCGGCAGCCCAGGGTTCACGGGTTCAGATCCCGGGTGAGGACCTACACACGACTCATAAAGCCCAGCGTCCCACAGACAAGAAAGTAGAGGAAGATGGCCACAGATGTTAGCTCAGGGCCGTGTTCTCACCAAAAACAGATAGATAGATAGATAGGATCTATCTATCGATCGATAGATAGATAAACAAAAGGAGCCTCCCCATTGTGAGAAGAATGAGAGCTTCTCCCTTTTCTCTGAAACTCAGCGGCACCAGCAGCAAAAGGAGACCAGGGCTCAGAGAACTCCCCACTCACAGACACTGAAAAGCTCTAGAAACTCCGATTTTACAAATTCGACTGTAAATTAAAACCTTGTGGAGGAAGTCACCACTTTAATTTTTTCTTCTCAGATACAGTGAACACCGGCCAAATTGTTTTAATTTCCGAATTTATTAAAATGATTAACCTCAATACTGCAAGTGCATGTACAAAATATTTGTAAAAAATGTTTTTAATGAAACGTTAAAGAACTTACCTCAAATGCTGAAAAAGTCCTTTTTTCATTCTTTCAGTACAAGGAATACATTGTATCTCAAAAGTATTACAACTCAGCAAAACAATTTAAAACAGTAATTTGAAAAATGATTGAAAATTGAATACTTTACATATGTTTCTACCATCACTTCCTAATTCTTACAATGCCAAAATCTTTACCAATCATTGCATGAGCTCACGCTAAGTTTTATTGAGTGCAACCTTTTCCAAGTGGTCGCCAGGCTGTGGATTCGCCCTTCCACACACTGAAGCTCCACAGCAGAGCCGGAACAGCTCCGAGGCCCCTAACTTGCGGAACGGAAATTAGGTTTCCCTGGAAGGCGCCAGCAGTGGCTGCCGAGCGCTTGTGCACACCGACTCCTGAGGCAGTGACCGCTGCCCAACGGCACTGCTCAGACCCACGGGAAGGTCGGCCTCAAAAGACAGGCCGAAATAAAGTGAAAACAAACGGCATAAATAAGTTACTAAAATTAACGCTTAAAAATGGAGAAGAGTGGGAAATGTGGTATTTTGTTACTTTTTCCTTAAGATTGAAATTCCTGACAGGGCTACTGTCGGTATTCCAAGAAACGGTTCAGGATTTAGTCTCGGAACCTCTTCAAAACACCCCAAACTACGGTGGGAGCTTCCAGACGCGGGGTCTAAGCTTGACCTTCCTTAGCGGCACGGTCTCCCACTTCTCCCACACAGGGCCACTGTGCGGACTGGCCGCGGTGTAAGGCGCTCCGAGGGCCTCACCACAGGCCTAGCGGGGCCGCCCTCTCTCTCGGGGTGAGGAAGGCTAGACGGAGCAAAGTGGGGGAGAGTGTGTGGGGCAAGGAAGTCGGCCACACGCTACCACATGAATACCTGAGGGGTTAACTGCACCGCAGCAAACAGGAGACGATGTAAGACTACAAGTGATTCCTTGAAGAACGTAAGGAGAAAAAAAATTCTAAATTTAAAAAACTTTTATGAGTATTATTAATTTCTATTTGAAACCTACTAGCAATAGTTTTAAGGAACTTAGTTTAAATGATGTCTCCAGAACCTGGAAACTGGTAGGAATCAATAAGTCGTAACAGTAAGCATTGAGGTTTTCTCCACTGGACTTTTCATTACCTGCAGATTCCTTTTAATGTTTTAAGACATGGGCTACTTCTCTCTAGACACTACACAAATCCTCTAAATTGATTTTACTCAGGAACACGGAATTATCTGAAAGTACATGTTCACATTTCCCAGACATAGAGATCCACTGGCGTCAGACACCTGTTACAGATTTATATTCCCAAATCCTTTGTTCAGTGATTTGTAAAATAACCCAAAGAAATGAAAGATTGGTATTGAACATAAAGTAGTAATCAAAAATTTGCTCATTAAGTTACTTAAAATTAATTTCTCTTCTCAAAGTGCTTCAAAAAACAAATTAAATCTGACTCCTCTTTTTTGTTTAACTGATAATATAGTCAAAAAATCTTTGATATTTTCATACATAAACTAACATAAGCCAAGAACTCCCACTGATGCAGTGCTTAAAACTATATATTTATAATTTTCTATTTTATTGGCATGAATATTTCTAAACTTAAAAACCTTCCTGGTAAGTTCTTTTAATTTCTTATGACAAAAATTTCTCACAACACACAAATATTTACAACATATACATTGCTTTCAGTTCTTTACAATGAATTTCAAAGACAAACATTTTTTATAGGTTACCACAGAACAAAAGCTGTGACTCATGTCTTTATTTCATAAACTATTATAAGTTAAAGTGAATAGTTTTTTAATATTCCTTGTAGCATTTTACAAGTGCAACAGAAAACTTGAAGACCCAAATTAAGATAGCTGTAGTTCATTAGATAAATGTTGCTTGTTGTCATCACATTGTTCACAGCAAATTTTTGAAAAAATAAGCACCAATCATTCTTGCAAAGAACAATTTTATCTAAAAGGATTGAAAAGTGTTAAATACAAGGTCTTTAATTTACATGACAAGCAATAAATACGCCACATCGAAACTCATCCTGCACACTGCCACCCTCAGACAACGTACTGAAAAGTTGGCGGTCACGCATGTCATTGTACTTTTTTTTTTTTTTCCAAGAAACCAATTTGACTCCCAACCGATGGTTTGCTATTTTAACCAAGGCCACAACAGTACACCTGGGCCAGCAGACAGTGTGAAACTGACACAACTCCAAAGGGGAAACATCTAGCAAGTAAATCAAAAAGCCAAAGATCATTGCTGGTGATATTAGCATATACTAGAAAACCTTAATATGCTGCTACTATGATTTGTTTTAAATTATTGTTTAGTCATATATTAAAGAGCCAGTTGATGCTCTTAAAGTTAAAAAAAGAAAACTGTGTAGCCACGTTATTGTCTTCAACGTCCTGGGTGGAAAGTTGCTGTCACTGTACAATTTTGCTTGAGCCTTTATTTTACAACAGGGCTTTACCTCTACCTCCGAATTGCACATAAGAAGGCTACTGAAAAAGTACAATAAAAATCTGCACAAACTAGACTTCAGCAGAGTCAGTGCGTTGTACACTCTACAGCACTATGCTGAGAAGGGAAGAGACAACAGAAGTGCTGCCACTAAAATGTTTCAGTTGAGGAATAATTGACTGGAATTTTTTATTTCTTTAAAGTAGGTATCCCAGGTCAGATTAAGACCAAGAGCTTATGCATTAAGCCTCAAAGACTGATCTTCTCTTCTCCTGGAAGAAATGTCAATATCTATAGAGTCTTTTCCAACTATTAGCCTCAATCGCTTGGCTGGAGGAAGAGGAATAAAATCATCTTCAAAGTCATCATCATAGTCATCCTCCTCCTCATCTCCTTCCGAAGAGGAGGAATCATCGGTACTTTCCTCCTCATACTGACTGTAGTCGTCAACTTCCATCTGAGACTCCAGGAGAGAGAGAGGATCACTACAGCACACCCCATTTTCATGAAGCCCCTCAGTATAGGACCCCCTACTCTCCTCGTCCCGTTTGAGCTGGATTTTCAATTTTGTAGAACTACTGCCTGATCCTGAGTTAAATCCATTATTAAGCTTTGCTACATAGAGATTATTATCATTTTCATGGTCTTTACTTAACTTGATGCTTATTTTTGAAGAATTCATTCCATCGTTCTCTTGGTCGTTTGTCTTGCTGCTGCTATCATGACGCCTGCGAAGAGTCAACTTGGGAATCCCCGAGTTATTCTCCAGGATTAACTGTGCATCATACCTTGTGATTCGCCTCTTCTTTTTACTTTTTGCAGTTCTGAAGTTGTCTTTTGCTTTGAAGCCATCTGATGTCACCACCGCAGCACCCCCAGGGGAAGGAGGCCAGTCTGGGTAGCTCCCAGGCACGCGCTCTGGGCCGCTGTGCTCGCCCTGGTCTGAGTGGGGCCCCATCACGTCTGGCACCACGCCGGCTTTGCCAGGGGAATCATGCACCGGAGCGGACTCCTCTGCTTTTGCCAACTGTTTCACAAGTTTTCCTTGTCTTGACTTCTTTCTCGACATGCTGTTGTCACTCTTATGACACTTTGCTTCCCCATTCTGTGCAGTCTCATGAGCCAGTTCTTCCTCCGGCACGGCAGGAGTCGGCTGCTCGTCACTGTCGGGGCAAGGCTCCGTCAAGCCATTCTTGCAGCCGTCCAATGTGTTTGGTTCAAGCTGGATGTCAGAGGTCTCCTTCAGGTTCGTTCTCGTCCTCACTGACCGCCTGGTTGTGTACGTGCAGGGAGCGCCCTCCCCATGAGCAGGAGCACCTCGCCCGGAGTTCTGTTTGTGCTCTCTTGCTGCGTGTCTAGTTAAGCACCCACCAGCCACTGAGGCTTGGACTGGTCCCTCCGGCTCCTTATCTTTTTTAATGGGCAAATTTTTATACAGAACTACTTTAGGCTCTTTAAGTACCAAGTTTCCCATTTCGAGTTTTCTCGAAGCACTCTTTTGCTCCAGCCGTTTGCACTGATTTCTTAATTTTATCTTCGAAAGTAAAGGCTTTGCGGGCTTTTTCAGTTTCTTTGGTACCCTGGAATTATTTACGTGAGTTAGCTTAGCTGAGGTAGAATTGGAAGGAGCTGGGATTCTTGGCATAGATTGCCTTGTTAATGTTCTGCTCTTGCTGTTCTTTTTCACACCAATTGAAGATTTTCGGTTAGAAGCTGCAAAGGGAAAAAAAAAAAAAAAAAGGATGAAAAACCACCTTGGTAACACAGTAGTTCAACAACACAATGCCAAAACCCAGACTATTAGTTATGACACGTTCAGGTTATACAAACATACGGCAGACAGACCCCCAGTTCAGTTTCCGCCAGCACATAAACATTCCCTACGCTGTTTTCCTTCAAGTTCTCTCATTTCTGCCGCATCTATTCATTTTTGAGGTAAGTAATTTCATGGTTAAAGAGCTCTTAGCACAGCAAGGATCTACATTTCACTCTAAGCTTGTCCCTCATCATGATACTGGTCCAAACTAAATATTTCTTTTCCTGATTTAGTACTTTCCCACATAAAAGATTTGAAGTAAAGCTAAGGAAAAATCATAGGTTTTTTTTTTCCTTTCACAAATTCTTCTTAAATTCATCATTTTAAATGTTTCTAAAATCTATTACTCATTAACTCAAAGTGTATTACTTGACCAGTAATACAGGACTGAAATACATTACTAATGGGCTCTGCGAGACAAATCCTACCACAACAGTTTCAAACAAGAAACAGATCCTAGGAGCCATATATCGTTATTCCCAACAGACGTTTACCCCAGAAAACCACACTATTCTAAGTAGTTCCTGTCAGCTCTGAGAGGAGCAGCAGAGACTCCGAAGGGCTTCAGAACTGACATGGCTCCCTCCCTCCAGGGACTGTGGGCTGCCAAGGATCAAACTGAAAGAGGGAAGGAGACTGCTGCTGGAGTTACACTCTCGGGACAATCGGAGATCCAATTTCCTTCCTCTGGACCAGGATACAAAAAGGCTGTGATGACCCTACTGAGAATGACAACCTGAGAACTAACGTGACAGTCAAATGACTTCTCAAAAGGCTTATGTGTGAGTCGAGTTTAAGGTGCTCCCATAATGAGCCTCCAACCTTGCCACTTTCTGCCGTCTTCATGTTTTTCTCCACATTTACTTTTGGACCTGTATTTATACTGTTTTATATGAGTCAATTTCTCAATTATTTAGTGTCCCCATCTCCCACCTGAAAACCTCTTCCCCATCAAAATACTCCTTTAAATCATTCCCTAGGGAAGCTGAGATGACCAAACTAACAATCACCACCTCTCACCAGAAAATGGGGAGAATAAAAAACAACGAATGTGGATAAGCCCAGCACACTACCCAACAAAGACTTCGTCGCTTACTACATGCCTGAGGGTTGCCAGGGTGACTGCTGTTCCTTCTGCATGGCTAAGCAAGTAAGTTACCATTAATTTTTATTGAGAGAGATGAGCAAGAATGTATAACAAGCATTCCAAAAATATCAAACCACCAATAGAAGGCTCTGTACTCAAGAAGACTGGCTCATAAATGGCTTCAGGGTACCAAAACCAGCAGAATTCCTAGGAATGAGATCCACTGATTGAACCAAGAACATGCTTATCCATGTGGGCTGCTACAACGGAGGCAACTTATTTTTAGAAGAGTAGGAGTAGTGAAGTTTGGATGCCATTCAATTTGAGAACTGATGGATTATGAACCAGAATTATACGGAACTTACTGGAGATGATTTTTTAAATATAAGGATATTCAGAGAATTCTTTCGCTAGAGTATTTCTTTATAAGCTTACAAGTCTTCCTACAAGGTGGACCGAGATGTTTACTGATGTGAACACACACTAGTGTTTTGGTGCTTGGCTTGCTCAAACGTGGCTACGCTAACCCTCTGCTCAGCCTATGACTCTTCAAGGATCTATGCCCGGGAGCTTAGTGGTTCTCAACCTTACTCTTCTGTTTCCCACCCCATTCTCATTTCGTTCCCGCAATCACCCCTACACGTCACATACGATCACACGTACATTGTAGTCTTGACGGCAATCCCCCTGTAATTTGGATGCAGCCTTTTCCTCCGAGAGCCTCTGCCACTCTGACAAGCTCCTTATCATGAAACCCTGTGAATACTTTTCAGCCCTTACCTTTCTTTCTCTGCAGAATGTGACATTGCTAATCATCCTTTTTCCTGAAAAACCCTCCCCCCCTGGCTGTCCATGAGAGCACTTTCCTGACTTTCCTTCCATGTCCCTGGCAATCTTCCTCCACTTGCCCCTTAGACTGCATTCCTCATGCTCTGCTGGCCTAAGGCCCTTTGGAAACTCTACACGTGGGCTCTGGGTGGTAAGCATCCACTCCTCCATTGCTATTACCGTCGTGTGCTGGCAGTTCCCGAACCACTTTCTCTAGCCCGATTCTCTCCTAAATTACAGATCCATATCACCAAATGCCCACTGGCATCTGGATCTCCCTGAGGCTGTCTCATAAGCCCCTCAGTCAACATGTTTAAACTGAACTCACCATCAAGCCTTATGGCTACTTCTCCTTCTAAGTTCTCCATCTTGGTCAATACCACCACCATCCACCCAGCTGCCCAAGCAGAAACCAGGTCATCCCTGACTCTTGCTTTCCCTAACGGCCTCACCCAATCAACCACCATGTCCCGTGGAGTCCACTCCTGCAACGTCACTGGAATCATCTTCTCCATTTCCAGTGCCACAATCTCCTGCCTGAACTATGGGATAGCTTCCCACCTCTTCTGGTTTCTCCTGTTGCTTCCCCAACATTCCACTCTCCACCATGTAGCCAGAATGATTTTCCTAGTACATCACATCACTTCTGGGCTTTAAACCTTTCAATTACCTAATGCCCTAAGAATAAGGTCCATAGTTTTAAATTATGGTCACATCCCTTCCTCCCACCTTCCACTCCAGCCATGATGAACTTTATTCAAGTCCTACACTCATCCCCATATCTTCATTTATGAAATTCCCTCTACTTTGAATATGCTTCACTTGGCCAACTTCTCACCCCCCTTTAAGACTCAGTTTGGGGGGCCGGCCCCGTGGCTTAGCGGTTAGGTGCGTGCGCTCCGCTACTGGCGGCCGGGGTTCGCATCCCGGGCGCGCACCAACGCACTGCTTCTCTGGCCTCGCCGCGTCCCACATGCATGCAACTGGAAGGATGTGCAGCTATGACATGCGGCTATCTACAGGGGCTTTGGGGGAAAAATAAATAAATAAAAATTAAAAAAAAAAAAGACTCAGTTTGGGAAACCCTTCTCTCAGGGAGCCTGTCCTGACTTTCTACGTATGACAGGTTTCCATTCCAATGTATTCTCACGACACCTGAGACTCTCTTTACTTGGGCACTTAATTTTAAACCATTAGATGAACCATTTTATAGTGATTCTGAATCTGGGCTCTCCCCCTTCCACCCCTTCCTTCCGAGACAGTCATTGTTAGCTGACTGCAGTGAACCACTGACAAAGCACTTCAGTGTGTCTGTGTTCTAAACAGCACAAAATAGACTAAATTTGATGCTCTGGATTATTTCAACGGAGAATTCACTTTCATGTTTATGTATTTATCTGTGTATTCTCATTTTGTTTGAAAAGCATTCTCTCATCAAAAGCCCAGCTAAAAGGTGTGCTCACCAATCAAAGGTCAAGGAAGACAAAGACAAGCTGGGCAAGAGAGACATGAGCAACGGGACTAAGATGAGAGTCCAGTAAGTGCCAAGGGCTCTTCACTGACCCAAAAAGGTGCTACACTGTCTTTGAGGGGTTTGAGAACGTTAGTAACACAGGCTAAAGGAGGAAGACAGGGGCCACAATGGCAAACTAATAAAAGTCTATTGAGAGCCTAGGGATCCTGAGGGAAGTGGAGATAAGGTATGCCTGTGGCTACCCTGGCTTCAGCACTAATACATCATATATGAGTCTCTTCCCTAGTGGCTGGGACATATCTCAAATGCATAAACAGTAACTTTAGGTGGAGATACACATTCTTAGCAATTGTTATATACTAGGTGCTGTGCAAAATGGCCAAATTAGTATGATCTCAATCCTAATAAGCATTCTTTGAAGTAAGAGCTATTACAGCTGTGGGAAAACGAAGCTTACATGAACTACCATGTCTAAGATCATCCATCTGGTGAGTGGCAGAGATGGGATGTGAACCGAATTCTGTGGCTCAAGAGTCCAAGTTTGTAACCACTCTATTACACTGCTTCTAAGGTATACCACAGAGTTATTATGGTGCCAGTCACCACTCAAGGATTAAGGACCCACAGCATGGCTATCACAGTCACTTCAGGGTGTCCCCAAAACCATACAGCAGCCCTGTATGGGCATGAAGAATTACAGCCAGATACAAGAGCAAAATGATGTGAAAGCTCCCTAAGTGCTTGGCTACATCCACGCTCTTCACTATAAAGGCCCCAGAAACGCATGCTATCAATGTGAACCAAAGTAAATACAAGGACCGCACACAGCTTGGCATCTTCAGAACCTGAGGATCCAGAAAACCCTCAACAGGACTTGAAAGACTTTAGTTCAAGGAGTTTATCAGGCACAACAAGCAGCTTCTGTCTCACATGACAAACACAGACCGGCAGTAGCTGCCTGGAAGAGTGTTGGAAAGGACTCTGGAGCAGCCTGTAGGCTCAGCAGAAAAGAGTATTCAGACCAATCAGGGATGTCTGTGACAGGCTAGAGTGAGAAGTGGTGACCCAGTCCACTCTCTCCAGGACAGGCACTCCCCAGTCAAGATAAACTTACTCCACCGACCGAGGCCTCTGTGTCTTGCGCTGACTTGTGGCATTTGCAGTGACTCATGTCCCAGAGAACAGCACTGACTATGGGCGTAGCCTAGCCATCGAGCCACAAGAGGCCTAAGAAACCAGAATCTTCCAATAATGGCATTATACTTCAGGTTTGTGGACTGAATGTGTGAAAATGGATTTCTTGTTGTCGCCTCTCTCTGGATGCTAAAGCAAAACAGTCAAGTTGTGGCTCCTGAGACACCTTTCAAAAAAGGATCTGTGTGGAAGGAAGAAATAATTTTTCTTCTGACTAGGCAGAAATGTTTCTTTAAAAAGAACATACATCCTGTTCAAAGAAAGCAGTGCCTCTGTCAGCTTCTAAATTCTAGACAAACTGCAGAATAAAGATGGGCAGCTGTGCCCAGAAAAAGCAGTCCAAATCTATACACACGATGGATGCCCACTCCCTTGGGAGAAAGGTTTGGGCAGCTCTGGCTTTGCTACCAGCTGCAGTTTCAACAAGTCTTTCTTTCAAACAGGCAGAAGAGTATGGTTGAGACACAAAACACCAAAAGAAATACAGCTAAGAGAACACATGTGACAGCCTGAGCAAATACTGCTGTGAACCAGACCGAATGTCTGACGGCCTCAGAGATTAGTGGAGTAAGCCTCCAGCTCCTTCAGAGCATTGAGCCACATCTATCAACTTTGTCACACGACCCTCCAAGTTAGTTACACCAACCCGTGAAGTACTCAAGACAATTTTTCTGCAGAGAGGTAATGTGAGTAAAGTGAGCACCTAACATTAGCAGTCACTGGCAAGTGCTATATTTCTATTCTGTAATACTGAGACTACAGCTCAAAGGGATTAGCCGTTCCCTCTACTTTAGAAAATGGCATTAATGGTCTGCTCTGCACAGTCACTTGTGTACTTGTCCTACCCTGGAGCTAAGGCATAAGCTCCCTGAGGGAGGGGCCCGAGTCTCATACACCTTTGTATCTTTTCAACAACTAGCAGGCTTTTGCTAAGTATTTGGTTTATTAATAAATATTCCTTAGATGGCCACATAGCAGTTAGTACATTCAGCACTTTCCAAAAGATATCTGCATTCTGATCTTTTAAGTGGTGTACTGAGCTCATTATCTACACATAGTAATATAGTTAATGCATAAAAACACAATACCCCCACAAATGTCACAGAGCCATTCACTGTGGACAGCGTCGCGGCTGTTTCCATATACGTCCGGCAGCACGCTTCTAAGTGTTTTTATGTATATATCTATAAAGTGGGCTTCACCAAGTCTCCAGTTTCACCAAGGAACCAGACTCAGAAAACAAATGTTGATTATGCTGCATTTATTATCAGAACCGACAGGCGACAGTGGATGATGGACTAACTGCTCTTTTCGCTCTCTCTGGACGCTACCAAGTGGAAGAGGAACACAGCACTGCTTTTACACTACGAGGTGATGCCAGGCTCTGACCCCCAGCAGCAGGTGGATGCAGGAATTCACGGCAGTGACATTCACCATTGGGGGAGACACCTTCCCTTTCCTCCAGGATGTCCTGCAGGGGAGGGAACCAAGATAGGGAGAAGAGCCTAAAACAACCAGCTCCCAGGAGTACTCAGGTGCTAAGAAGTAACCATGGACATGGATAGTGCCCCAACAGGCCCACTTTGTGGATCGCCAAGCCAAAGCTTTGAGGCTTTATTCCTGTTAGAGACCAGTCAGGCTCAAGACCCGACTGTTCTAGCGGCACCTAGAGAAGACTAGTGTTACCAGATGAAGCCCAGTAGCAATCAGAGTGGTTCCAAGACTTCAAAGCTCCAGGAACATGAGGTGTTTTCTTTTGCTCATTTAGGCTTTCTTCTCTTTCTTTTCTCTTTATTCTTCATTCTCTCTTTCTCCAGTTTCCATTAGATCTTGCCCCAAACACAACTGGTATCTTAAAGCTTGCTTCCTTCTCCTTCTCACCTCTCTTGCTACTTTTGCTGGTGGCTACACAACACGTCACAGTATAGTGACACTCAAAATGCTCCTCTATCACAATTCTGAGTCTGGTAACTGGTGGTTTGGTAAATTGGGTCAGTTCATTTTGAAAAAGGCAAGCAAGTACTAAAAAGGGGGAAGCCTTGACGCCAGAAGCTATCAACTCCCCAAGTCCATCACCCACCCTAACAAACTGGCTAGGCACAGGAACATGCATGTGTCTGTGGGACCCTACCCAGTCCTTTGTCTTCTCAGAGAACCTAACGACATCATTATAGTGAAACCAACACCTTGAAAATGTTTCTCTCAAACATATGACGACCCTGGAACACATGATGAAGAATTCCATATCCAGTTACCAAGTATTCCTGAAAGGCAGACAATTCCATCTAGAGTACCAGACTGAATCCGGAGGCAGGACAGACTGCTTCTGAGCTCAAGTCATTTCTAGAACCTTGCAGTACTGCCGAAGCGCATGAGTCCCAGAGCTTCTCTCAATATTTAAAAGATCAAAACTATTGAAGCACGCTTTAGATAGCAAATTGTGTGAAAATATTAAAAAAAAAAAAAAAAAAAAAAAGATACGCTTATCAAATCTCCCTTACTTACTTGCATTGTTTTTTTCCTGAGTGGTATCTGCATCAGTGTTAGAGCTGACAGACTGACTGTCTGAATTTTTGCTGCTGTCACCTAACTTTTTAAGCCTATTTAAACGTTTATCTGTCTCTCTGAGTCCGTATTTGCTATTGATAACAGGAGCAGGCGCTGGCAGTCCCACTCTGGATTTAAAAGCACCAGTTCCCCGTCTGAAAGAGAAAACAGCACAGGTTAAACAAACAGCATCCTTGCTTACAACAAGCTTGCTGCTGAGGACACTTGGCCACATCAGGTCAAGAGATGTGATGAACTGATGAGGCCTCAATCATCACTGAAAATCTGTTAAGCCTAGGATCTCAAAAGAAATTAAACATGTATATAAAATCAATGCAAAAAACCTTCTAGATTTAAAATAACAAAACAAATTGTTATGACTATTGTCAATCGTTTTTTAATTTTATTTATTTTTTTCCCCCCAAAGCCCCAGTAGATAGTTGTATGTCACAGCTGCACATCCTTCTAGTTGCTGTATGTGGGATGCGGCCTCAGCATGGCCGGAGAAGTGGTGTGTTGCTGCGCGCCTGGGATCCGAACCCAGGCCGCCAGCATCGGAGCGCGAGCACTTAACCGCTAAGCCACGGGGCCGGCCCTCAATCAATTGTTAATTGCCCATGAGAAACTATTGGACCCTGTAGAACTTCATGTGTAGGTAAAAATAAATAACTAATTCTTCAATTTCAAAACTGGTTGGTGCAACAGTTAGGTCTAAATTGTAGCTTAAATAACCCACCTGTTAATTATATTCCAGCTTTGTTCTGCACTATTTAACACATTACTGAATATTGAGAATTAAGGAATTAAAAAAAGAAATCAGAAAATTTCCATACATTAAGTCATTACTTAGAACTTAATGCTAGATACAAACAGATCCTAACTGAAATACTATAAGAAGGCTAGGCTACATTAGTGAAAATCTGACTTCTGGAACAATAAAAACTGTTACTGAAGTAAACATGAATGATCATAATTAATAAAATGCTACTAAATAAGACGTTAAAAGACTTGCTTTCACCACTAGATAAGAATGATATGTAACCTGTGTCAATTATTTATATTTATGTAAATTCTTCCGAAGTGAGGGTGCTTATAAGAGGTCCTCCTAAACTTCCTTAAATGAATCTAGCTTTGCAAATCTTCGCATTATTCAGTGTATAAAGGTAAATTTATATCCAGCTCTATTCAAAAGAATAAGTAAATTCTAAATTAATGAGGTTAAAAAAAAGCACTACATATTGCACTTAAAAAATGAGAAATCTCTTTGGCCAAAACTGCCTTCACTGACTTGCCTTTTATTGGCCTTAGCTTGTGAAAGCTGTATAATAACAGCTTCTGAACTTGTGGCAAAACTGTGAACACCCTCCATCATGAAAGCAGTATCACCCTCCATAAAATCCCATGCGATTTATTTTTTCTAGGATTTAGATGAAGAGAAGATAACTTTTCTCACCGGAGGAATCAGTGTTTCACCTTTTGCTAAGGGACAATGGAAATTTTATTTTCTCTCCCTACGTTCTTACCTCTCCATGCTAGAGAGCACAGGCCTAAACCTAATGCAGAAACTATTTTTGGTAAGTAAGGTGAGCATTCTTGCTTTCTTCACCTTTCCAGAATGCATCTGGAATTCAATTTTTATTAATGCTTTTGTAAAAACTACAACAAAAACTTATGGTGGGACTGCCTCAATTCTTTTTTCAAAAGGTGTACTAGAAATCCATGTAAAAACCTTTAGGGAATCTTCACCAGGCAGGCAACCAGTTACACTCCACTCCACTCTAAACTATATTCAGAAAGTAAATGAGTGAATCCCAAAGGCTATTTAATTTCATATGAACTAAAGTAATCAAGTATTTTCAGATATTCTATGCCTTTTTACCCTAAGTTGTAACATTTCTGGTTCATTCCTGAAAGATGGGCCATACTTAAAGTACACTTAGGGCCGGGCCGATGGCGTAGTGGTTAAGTGCACGCGCTCTGTTGCTGGTGGCCCAGGTTCGGATCCAGGGCGTGCACCGAGGCACCGCTTGTCAAGCCATGCTGTGGCGGCGTCCCATATAAAGTGGAGGAAGATGGGCACGGATGTTAGCCCAGGGCCAGTCTTCCTCACAAAAAAAAAAAAAAAAAGTACACAAACACAAAATAAATGATTGTGGTGGAATTATTTTATGTGGAAATGAGAGTTTTTTTAAGTAAAACTCCACCATTCGTCTGCTTCTCTACCTCCTTTATTTCTTAACTTATGTAAAAAGTGAAACAATCCTAGGACAGTATATCCATAAAGCAAAAGTAAATAGTAGCTCCCAACCACCCTCCATCCCCAGAGTCCTGAGGTACCAGCATTAACCATCTGCCAACAGTCCATTCCTTTACCATGGTCTACACATTTATTTACGTTGTTTCTTTTTAAGCAAAGAAAACCAAAATAGGATAATACCATACATTTTACTCAACGATCAGCTTTCTTATCATTACATCATGGACAAATAAATCTGAACTGAACACGTTTTCAAAGTTGTACTTTACATTGAATAAACATTCCATAATTTATTCAACCCCTCCCCAATGGTGATTACTAAAACTTGTGGGGTTTTTTGTTTTCACTTGCCACCTTCAACACTGCTGCTCTACTGCTCTTGAAACCATATCCTTACTAACTAGCACTCACGTTTCCACAGGACAGATCCTCCCAATGGGAATGACTGCCAGGTAACAGGGTGAGTCTGTTTTTAACAAATATTGCCAGAGTACTTTCCTGAAAGGTTACAGCAATTTACGCCCCTACTGACATTGTGTGAGTGCCTGCTTCTCCACATCCTCACCAGCAGTATGTCTTAAAGTCTGCCAATCTGATAGTGAAATGAATACCCAATTACTGTTTTAATGTCCTTGTCCACAGCCGTCACTTTCTGTGCAGCATCCGCCTTACTTTCTTTCCTGCTGGAGTCAGTCTTTTCCTCATGAGCTTATAGGAGTATTCTGTTATTAGGATATTAACTCTTGGCAATATGTATCCTTTTTCTCCCTTTAGTTGTTTATCATCCATCTTTGACTTTACTTTTGGCCACTCAAAAATTTTTGTATTCACCATTTCTTGTTTTACTTCTTTCAAAAGATCTCCACTATTCCAAGGTTAGACATATATTCTCCTAATTTTTTTCTTATAGTTTTGCATTGCATTTTTCAATTTAGATCTTTAAACTATCTGGAATTTACCTTGTATATGGCGTGAGATGGGGCCTTAGCTTCATTTTCTTCCAGATGCGCAATAAATTATACCAACATAACTTATTAAAGAAATCATCATTTCCCCATAAGTGGTATTAAGACCTCATACTTACTTGCCTTTATTTCAGGACTGTATTCATGTTCTCTTAACTATTTGTCTGTTTCTGGGCCACTATCATCAAGTTTTGATCACTACTGTTTCATAGTAACTTTTAATATATGTTAAGGCAAATCTCCCTTAACTATACTTTAGAAATTTTTTCTTGGCTATCATCAGACATACTTCCACATAAGCTTTAAAATATTTTGGTTCTTCATATTTTTTGGTCATTAGATTTTATTTCTCAAATTTTCTACAGTGAAATCTGCAGTACTTACTTATGAATGTACCACAACTGCCATTGTGTTAGGATGGTTATGGCCCAGAAACAAGCATCCAATGTACCCTGGACACTCTACCCATGAGCTCAGCGCCTCTGTAAGCATTCTGTCCACTCGCATGTCTTCGTTGGGCCACCTCTTCTCACCCTCCAGCTCCTAGCACTGTGTGTGTGTCCCTTTCACTGCACTGCCCTCACAGCTGGCATGGTGCTCATCTTGTTTACCCTGCATATACTAGGCCTAACATAAAGTAACTAACCATTCAGTTGATATCTGATGAATAACTGAATGAGTTTCTTTGACTAGTCTCATCCTCTCACCTAATTTCTAGAAAGGCAGAAACAATTTAGTGTTCCAGAGAATTTCAAGAGTATTCGTAGCCAATCTTTAAATCCAACTGCTCAAATAGTCTGACAATAGCCATGCCTACTGTTCTGTATTACGCCTTTCCACTTAAAGAGGATTTGCACATGTTTCTATTTATTCCTCACACTAAGCCTGAGGAGATGACTACCCTCATCTGACCAGTGAGAAACTGATGCTCATGGAAGAGAACTAATCTGCCCAAGGGGCATAATGACACGTGTAGTTCTAAACCAGTGAAAGAGCTGTTTCAGGAGTGGTTTGGAATCCTGAGTATGTGGGTATGTTTTTCAGGACAGCCTCCAAAAACTTAGTGTGTCATTTGCTCCATTCATTCATTCATTCACCAAATATTCCTCAAGGATCTACTATGTGCCAGGCACTGTTCTGGAGGCTGGGGATATAACAGTAAATGACAAAGATAAAAATCTCTGCCTTCAAGGAGCTTATATTCTAAGGGGAAAACAACCAGAAACCACAAAATAATTTGATAGCTAACATTTGAGTATTAACTCTGCGCTGTTCTACATGCTTTATGTGAAGTAACTCATTTAATCCTCACAGCAACCCTAAGAGATAGCTTCTGATGTTATCCCCATTTTGCAGATGGGGTACCTAAGGCACAAAAGCAGCTAAGTTGTCCAAGATCACATAGCTGATGCAAGGCAGAGTTGCAGGATTCCACCCCAGGCAGTGTGACTCCAGATCTCAGGCACTTAACTGCTATACTATGTTGCCTCTATAAAATGATTTTAAAGCATTATTCAACTATGATTAAACTACTTCATGGATTAAAGGGTCTTTTTTGTGGACTTGTCTAAGATTTAACAAAGATTTGAACCATTTTTTATGTAGAAAAACAAATTTTATTCCTCGCCCCCTACAAAAAAAAAGGGGCAAAAATTCAGCAGCATCAAGAATAGGTTTTCTGCCACTCCTTCATGGCAAGGCCCCCAAAGCTGGGAGAGACACAGCAGGGGCAGTACTAGGACTCTGTGCCTCTGCTCTCTCATGAAGGGGCAGTACTAGGACTCTGTGCCTCTGCTCTCTCATGAGAGCAGAGAAACCCCTGGCTACCTGGAAGGAAGGGAAACAGTTAGGCTGGTGGCTGTAGGCTGGGTGTTCTAAGTGGGAGAAGCAGAACTACTGGAAATCTTTGCTCCGATTTGCAAAAGCAATATGAAATGGATGAGGGCTCTGAAGTTAGGCTGACCCTGGTGTTCAGACACTTAGGTTTCTGCACTTGCCATGTGGGCACATTACTAGTTCACTCTCTCACAGGATGGCTGTGAGGACTGAAGGAGTCAGGGTTGGTAGAGTGTCCAGCACCGCGCAAGGTATGTAAAATGGGCTCAACAAATCCAGGTCTGCTCCACAGTGTGGCCTATGCAAGTCTGCGCTACCTTGTAATGTCAGCCTTCCCGCAGCACTAGCCTGGACAGCTCGTGAGGCCGCCTCAGTGAGCTCCTGTATGCAGAAGCCACTACAGTGAGAAGTGTGAACATGCAGTCCTGCTAAGGCAGATCCGGGGGATTTCTACAAGGACTCCAGAATCTTGAACTCCAAAAAGAGTTCCTCACTAAGTGACAGACTTTAGGAATTATGAAGAGTATGTGCACTAAAACATAAAAATTCCAGAAGACACAGGTTGGTAACACACAAGACAACTTCAGCGTTTTTACATGACTATTAGTAGTGAACTTCACTTGCTACTTTGGGGGCACCCCTACGCTGGCACTGTGTGTGCATGCGCACGAGTGTGTAAGGTATTTCCCATTCTCTCCTTAGGAATATCTGTATTCTGATTTACTCATAAGAACAACAGTTGGTAGTAATAAGATTTTAAAGGATCAGGTGCCAGTGCCCCTAAATATTTCTGTAGCCTTTGATTTTGTTCATGCACGTTGTACTGGGTACGATGCACAGAACATAAAAGAGTATCCTTGCATTTAAATGATGAGGAGATAACGTGAGTTAATGCCCATAATCATCAGGTGGTTAAAAGATTGTAAAAGCTGAACATCTACTTAATACTTTACCTTTCACAAGTGTAACACTCGCAGAACTCATTATTTTCTCCAAAAAACCCATCTCCATAATAACAAGAAATTTCTTCTCCAGGTTCAATATCTCTTAGAGCCTTCACACACGCTGTATCTCGACCAGTTGACACAAACTGAAATAAAGTTAACTCATTAAGAAACTCATACCTGAAGCAGAAACAAAATACTTGAGATAAAAAATTTTTATGCTTACCTTACAGTTAGGTCTGCAATCTGAAAAATGTCCAAAAGATAAAGTCAATTAACTGTAGGAAAGATCTGAAACACGAACAATTACAGAAATCTGAAATAAGCTTTCCATATAATTTTACAACTTTTGACAGAAATTTAGGTCTCAAGTTAGAGCACAGGAATATTTAATAAGTTTGTGGAAAAAAAGAAAAAGAATCCGTATTTCAAACCCTCCTTTAAAAGAAGATAAAGGTTTTACACAGTGTGATACGGCATTCTAATTTTTAGCAGTACTGCCCCACACCAGTGCTAACTAACACCTGAGAAAGACAGCTTACCATGGTTTATAAATGCAGCAGGACCAAGCCAGAGCTGAGCACAGTTTTTCCTTGTGGAATACATGACACTGAAGTCGTTTTCTCCATGTCTAAGCAGCATGTTCTCCTCAATTTCTGAAAGTTCGGCAATACAACCCACCAGTAATTCTATTTTGTCATTTCGTTTCCTATTTAAAATATGTGATGTTAAAAATTACTAGTAATTATAAATAATACGGCTTCTGTTAATCAAATAATCCTGTCCACTAAACACCAGGGATTGAGAGGACCTGGCCGTGCGTACTTTGGCTGACTACCCTGGATCCCGCCTGGAAGCCCCGCAGCCTTGTGCATGGTTGCCTGTGCGGCTGCTTTATCTCCATCGGAGACTGGAAGGTCCTCCAGGGCAGGAACTGTGCTACCTGTCTCTGACCCCCTGCAGCACCTAGTATAGTGTTTTGCAGGCAGAAAGGACTCAAATACCTGCTGCACTGAATTCACCTTGCTGACAATGGATGAAGGAGACAGAGACAGGTAGTAGTAAAGGGCTGTGAGGACCCAGAATTAGGACGTCCCCAGCTAGAGCAGCACCACCCAACAGAAATGTAATGCAAGCCAAACACCGCAACTTCAACGTTCTAGCAGCCACATTAAGCAAGTCAAGAGAAAGCAGGTGAAATTACTTTTAGTAATATATTTTAACCCACTAGATAATTCAACAGGTAAATCGGTATAAGAAATATTAACAAGAAATACAATTTAATATAAAATCTGGCATGTACATCACATTTAGAGCACTTCTCAATTCAGACTAGCCACATTTCAAGGGCTCAATAGCCATACATGGCTGGTGGCTACTGTACTGGACAGTGCAGCTCTAGAACCCGAGACCTCAAAGCTCCACCCCCAACAACACAGGGAGCCACGGGAGCCGATCAGCAGGCTGACACCATCCCAAGGGAAACAACGTTCACTCACGAACACACATCCACTCAAGAGGCCTGGGAGGGGAGAATGCTCTTTGCCCACTCCATTTGTAGGTACCTGACCCTACACTTTTTGCTATAAGAAATACTGGAGGTGGTATATGAGAGGGGCTACATACTTCTTCTGGGAGATAAGGTAGGGAACAGGCATGAGAGGATAGATAAAAATCACATATTCTCTCTTCCATGTATGGCTTTTATCCCTCCAAGCTGGGCTCAATTTTATTACTTTTATTTAAGCTGGTACATACATACACATTTTTTGTAGGCAATGTGTTAGGAAGTTTCCACTTGGGAAATTCCTGGGATTATTAAGACTTCATACCCAACCTTTCTTCTAGGCCAGTGAAAGACTGACTCTGGAAGCCAGGTTACCCCTAACCTTTCAGTAGTCCTGTCACTGAGCAGGCACCAGACTCAATAAATGGAAAACAAAAAGCACTCTGGCTTAGTTTAGAGACAGAACCTGGTTTAACTCAGACTTCTCATCTCACCACCCTGACCCTGGTCGCTGGGCCGAAGCACTGGCCGTGCGCCAGCTCCTTAAGGGTGAGCTCTGGCTTCATTCCTCCCCACGACCTTCTTAGCACTTGAACAGTAGTTTAAGGGAGAACTTGAAATAAAATGACTTAATGGGTTTATACTAGTATAATAGTTACCACTCTTTTGTTGCAACTATTTTGGCTCCATTTTGTTCTGATGAGTATCTATTACAAGGCAATATTTCAAATCCACTGTCAGTTGCAAACATTCGCAAGTAAATAAATACCTAAAACAGGAAAAAAATTGGTATTAACTTTATATTATTTATCCTGCTAGATTTTTTTCAGAATTATAAAAGCAAACCACCACCAACAATGTAAACATTTAAGATCATTAAGTAAAAAACTTTGCTGTTATTTAAAAATTTCAAGGGCCAGCCCCATGGCTTAGTAGTTAAGTGCACGCGCTCCACTACTGGTGGCCCAGGGTTCGGATCCTGGGCACGCACCGATGCACTGTTTGTCCGGCCAAGCTGAGGCCGCGTCCCACATACAGCAACTAGAAGGATGTGCAACTATGACATACAACTATCTACTGGGACTTTGGGGGGAAAAAAGGAGGAGGATTGGCAATAGATGTTAGCTCAGAGCCAGTCTTCCTCAAAAAAAAAAAAGAGGATTAGCACGGATGTTAGCTCAGGGCTGATCTTCCTCACACACACACTAAAAATTTCACATAGTTGAAAAATTTCACATCTACCTAATAGCTTGGCTATGTTACTTTAAAAGTTCACAATGCACTTCACTTACAGATGACAAAGTTTTCTCTTTGGATAGTCATACAAATGATCTTTTTTTTTTTTTTTTTTTGTAAGGAAGACCAGCCCCCGTCAAACACCTTTTTCCTATCCCCCCCCTTTTTTTCCCCCAAAGCCCCAGTAGATAGCTGTATGTCATAGTTGCACCTCCTTCTAGTTGCTGTATGTGGGATGCGGCCTCAGCATGGCTGGACAAGCGGTGCGTCAGTGCGTGCCCGGGATCTGAACCCAGGCCGCCAGTAGCGGAGCGCGCGCACTAAACCGCTAAGCCACGGGGCGCGCCCCATAGAAATGATCTTAAGTGTTATTAGATCTTCATACTGATTAGTCTTATGAAAAACTGATTCAAAGTTTCAGCGTTCACTAAAATTTAGGCTTTCGTTTCCTTTACTCTTATCCAGACGGATAAATACAGTAGTATTAATCTTATTACTAAACCTACATGTTCCTTGAATAATTTCTCCTGCGTTTTGTTCTTGTTGAGAAAATAGTGCCGTGCCCATTCGCCTGAAGTCAAACATTTGAAGGCTTTCTCCAAGTGTTCATCTTTTTTAAAACGTTCAATTACTTCCTTTAGTTCCTCTTGCCTTCCTTTAATTGGCCGAAATCTGAAAGAAATCAAAACCATAACTTTAGTTATCTGCCATCATCCTGGGGCCACTGTTAAGAGATCTTGAGAAACAGGTAATAACCTAAAAACAGCCAGACCTAACAAAAGAGAACAATCAATCATGTTGATAATTACTACTCAAGTAATACTGATCACCAGGAAATATAACTTCTCTTTCTTCATAAGGTATTTTCATATTTTTATTTCACTGTTATCTCATTAACTGAGAGGTGACCAGATGATTCAAACGAAAGCTGTCTGATTCAGGCTACTACTAGTCCTCTACTTTGGAAGGTACAAAATGAAAGATCTAGAATAGAGTTTGTCTAGTTGAGAATTAGAATGACAAGAATTTTGTAAAACATGCAGAATCAAGCCATAGGAATGCAAGGCAATGAGCTTCAGAAGAACGAAGCAGCAAACAAAACCATGCCATAAACAAAAACGCTCTCTACGTACAGATAGAAAAACCCCAAACTAGGCATCCCAACAGGTCTTGAAACACACCTTGATGTTCCAACACCCATGTCAAATGAATCTTTGCTAACTGCATTCAGAGAACAAAGAGAGGGCAAAAAGTACAACTGCAGCAGTGATACTGCTGTACTGGTGATGTAAGGACAAAGTGGTGGGGTAGAATTTTAAAAGGCTTCTATTGTAAAATTGGCTATAATGACTTCAGAACATCACATGCTAGGCAGACATTAACACACGACACAAGCATGGGCCATGTAAGCCCCTTGTTCTAAAGCTGTGTTCTCAATAAAACACGTGTACTATGATTAAAGGAACTTGGATCTTAATTTCAAAATTTCTTCTCATGTCAATTTCATTTGGCTTATTTTCCCAAATAAGGTTTTGGGTTTTTTTTTAACATCCAACAACAAAAAAAGGAATTACAGACTGCTATTCAAATAAAATACATTAAGAAAAAATATTAGTGGCTCAGGAGAAAAAGTATTTGCATCTTACTCAAACATTCAAAACTGCACATCTCATAAACCTGAAAATGCTAAAACTGAGATCAGATCTAGCACCAAGTCCAGCAAAGGAAGCACTGAAGCAGATTTTTTTTTTTTCTGATAAGCTATCACAAATGTATTCATAACATTTCAGTAAGATTTTAAGCCACAATATTTCACCAAGGATTTTTTATCAGATGCTGTATGCACAGGTGCTGTGGTGAAAAATATGAGAAAGAAGACATAGCCTCTGTTTTTGAATAGAAAAGTTAATTGGGACTAAGAGATACATACATGCATCAAACAGTTACGCAAGGCATCAATAAGCAAATGAATGTTAATATGGTACAAACCACACTGCTATAGCACTTTAAGGTACGGAAATTATAACCAAGCTGTATTTGTTTGGGAAGGGGTTTTGGAGTTGACACTGATATGGGCAATGAGGAAAGCGGAAAATTCAGCTTTCTAAAGAAAAAGCAGAATATTACTATAAAGGCAGGAAACAATCAACAGAAGGCAGGCAAAGTGAGAGGAAATCTAAGCAGAAGATCTCAATAAGGCTGGATTCAGGGGCTGCACGGTGGCATAGCTGGTAAGTGCACGCGCTCTGCTGCGGCGGCCCAGGGTTTGCAGGTGCGGATCCTGGGCGCGCACCGATGCACCGCTTGTCAAGCCACGCTGTGGTGGCGTCCCATATAAAGTAGAGGAAGATAGGCACGGACATTAGCCCAGGGCCAATATTCCTGAGCAAAAAGAGGAGGATTGGCATGGATGTTAGCTCAGGGCTAATCTTCCTCACAAAAAGAAGAAAAAAAGGAAAATAAATATTCAGTTTAAAAAACAAAAGGCTGGATTCAAAGAGATAAACAGGGGCTGAGGGAATCAGCTGGCTAACAACAGTAAAGGAAAGTACTAGAACAAGGAAGAGGGAAGACATGAGGTCCAGAACAGGTATAACACTATCTACTGGACAGGATCTCTAGAGGACCTCAGATATATTAATGCATGGTGACACTTCCAGGAATTTACTGGCTACAGACTCTAGCTTCACTAAGCTCTCAGAACTATTAAGCAGAACTATCTGAAAGAGTTCAAACACAACCTAGAGATATCATATGAAGAAATGGACAACGCCCTATTTTCTATTCCAATCAACTGGCAAACCAGCCCTCACAGATGAGTGGAAGTCCTTTCAACAATTCAGAATGTCTTTAACTAGGTTGTCAGAATAGCACTACTAAAATAATCTAAATATTTGCAAATTGTGGAAGTATCCAAACTTCCACACAGTTATATTAAACTACTTACTTGTAGTCACAGGTGATTCTGTCAAGACTGGGTTTCTCTAAGAAACTCAATCTAAAGCCTTCTTGAGGCAACCCTACACTCGAGTTATTTGCATATAAACGACAGATAAGACAACCAATCAGCTGCTAGCTAAGGCATATCACTTCAAGCAATACAAAATATGAAATGGCAGGAAACAACCCATATTTTGCACAATACATGAGAAAGCAATAGTTCACTTTGAAAAATATGATAAATAATCCATGTTAAGTGGCAGGGCTACAAATGACAGAAAGAGCCAAGCAATCTTTACATGTTCCATGCGGAAGTGACCAACGGTGACACTCTTATTTCAAAATAAATCGCACAGCTCAACACATTAGAAAGCAAGTCAGAGGCAGAGCTAAACTCCCTAAAGCTCTTCAGAACATGACAGAAAGGTAAGGTGCAAACCCGGGATGGACACTGGCTCTTCCTGACAGGCTTTATGCGTCCTCTCCACTTCCTGAAACACGTACCTTCCTATCTAAAGACGCCACTCAGCTCTCCCTAGTTTTGTTTACTCTCTGTTCATGATGCCAAACAATTTATGTGCTAAAACCAACACAAAATAACCAACTCTTGATTCCACGTTTCCTGTGCTTTTTGTTTTTACTTTCCTGACTTCTACTGCCTTACAACACAAACAAAATCCCTGAATCTGCCCCTTGCTACACACCAGCAAGAACCTCCATTTCACTTAAAATGTAATTTACTGTCAAAACTTACTGTCACAGTTGGCTGCTATAGGCGTGAAATGATAGTGAGGCAAAGGAAGAAGAAAATGGTTCTGAGTGCAGACAGGAAGGGGAAGAGACAGTTGTTTTCGATAATCCTATAGAAGTACATCAAAATCACCTGGCTCACAGTTCAAGTCAAATCCCATTATAACAAATACTGCAGGGAAATAAAAATTATTTAATAGCGTAAGATTGTTCCAACTATTAGGGCCAGAGCAAAAGGCACTGAGGACCTTAGGAAAAATTAAAGTAATTTTCTATTATTGAGTAGAAAAATACCCTCTTGTCCTCTCCTTAATGATAATCACTCTAAATCTCCCACACAAATTGCACAAAGCTATTTTTACACCATGGTTCTTAAAGCTAGAAGAAAATTTAGATTATCTAAAAACAACTCTCTTGTTCCACAAATGAGGAAAATAAGGTCCAATGAGGGCTGCTTAGTGGAAGGCCTGGGACTACTCCCCAGGCCTTTCTTGATGCCGCTCTCTTATCTGGACTACGAGGGCCCTCTTGTGTCCCTTCATGATTAGAACAGGATTTGACTTGTGTTTGCCATTGAGAACCAGCACTGAGCCCAGCCAGAGACAGCATTGGCTGTTCTACTGATGATACAGTGAAAGGGGTGGATGCAAATACATACTTTTAAATTTAGTATTTGGGGGTGAGATGGCAGGGGAGGCAAGAGAACCAGGTATCTGGCATTTCCAAATCAATATACCCTTCCTCCCTCTCTTAATATGAAACTTGCAACTTTAAATAAACCAAACATTTATTTTTCTCTTCCCACATCTCCGATCAATGGGTGGTATAAGAAATAAAAATATATCATTTACAATCATTTATTATTAAAAGGGGCAGAAAAAAACATGAATTCACACTCCCACACACCTGTTCCCCACTCTTTCCAGAGACTGACTTCCCAGGTTTTCTTGCTATTTGGTTTTTCTGTTTCCAAACCCAAGAGACCACTGTGGCAATGAAGAAAAGTTGTAGATTTGTATTAGCTGTACTACTGTGCCCTTCCATTAGCATGTACAGTCAAGAGCTGACTGGAGGGATGGGGAAAGAGGAGGGGGGACAGAAAAAAGGGAGCAAGGGAAGGAGAGAGGAAGAGAGAGAAAAATACTCAAATATTTAAGATATAAAATAAGAAAACCATGAGGCAACATCGTGAACACATTTCCCCCTTTGAAGCAAGTTCAATCACAAACTGATAGTTCGTAGATGCTGAGAGGAGGAGTCATGCTAAAACCACAGCTCTTCATTCCTTCTTGACCTGAAAATAAACAACAACCAGAAACATACCTGGCTGGGGCCTGCAATCAGTGCTCAGCTAATCCCAGGGAGTGACTCCTGATCTTTTGATGAATGATTTCTCTTAAAATTACCCTGTTATGGAGTACAAGTGGTTTTTTAAATATATCTATTACTAAGACAAACTATTTTAAAAGGTTTGCAAAATGTTCTAAAAATCGTGTTTATGCTGACATCTCCAATTACTCAACATAAACAATATTACAAAGGTTGAAACAGGTTAGTTGGTATCTTATTATTGCTTGTAATGCACTCTACCTACCTCACAGGGTTGTTGTGAGGAAAACTGTCAGATTTTGAAAAATGCCTTGAGCTCCTCGAAGGAAAGGCGCTATATAAATGCAAAAACAAACAACAACAATAAAAAAACTATTTGTATAATTTGTACTTGTAATTTCTAAGCAGACTTACAATATTAGTTGTAACAGAAAGCCTTAAAACATTGTGATATTCAAGAACTTGATGAAGACACGGGTAGGCTCAGCATGATAACAAAAGCCAGGATGCTAAAATTCTTTCCTGCCCATATAACATCCTTTTACCCTTGATTATATTAAGTTAGAAAGTCTAAAAACATCTTTATGTTTTCTAGTCAAGCATTTAATTTTCAAGTGACATTTAAAGTGATTTATAAATTCATATCCAACAGCAAATATGAATAATCAAATACATAAATAAAATAAAAATTAGATGGTTACAGTATTGGAAGGATGAGTCAAGACTGTACAGGCTCAAGTTTGGATTAGAAAAGTTCCAAAGAAGAAGTGCCCTGAGATGACTCTTGTCATTTCTTCTTATTTCCTGCTCAGCTCACTGCTCACTTGAGTCTCCCCGACTCCCCAGGATACTGTGAAATCTCTGGGTCTGCAGCCTAAACAAGGGGGCATTACCGAAAGCATCATCCTTGCTTTACAATATCCATCTCCCCACTAGCTTTTTAAAAGATCAGAGGTATTACTAATAACGCTTCTCTGATGAAAAGGAAGAATTTAAGTTTCATAATTGACAAAAGTCAACTAAATCTAAATACTTCCCAATAAATTAAAATTACTGTTTTGTTTATACTGTTTCGAGGTATTCATGCTACAAACTTAATTGTTAGTAAATATAGGGATATATTAAGATTAAAACATAGGCATTCAGAACATAGCCAGTTTGGGAAATTCTGAAATCATTAACCATCTACTGTTTCTGAACACTGTTCCTGAGGGTACAGTGAAAGAAGCAGAAGGGAGGAAAAAGGGCATAAAAAAAAAAGAGAAACTAAAAAATGACAATCAAATTAGAGATGTATAAACATAAGAACAAAGAGACCACTTATACCAGTAACATACAGACAGCTTGGAGAATTAAAATCCAAGCTCCAATCACATCTTCCAGTCACTTCTTTTGCACTCCAAAGAGAAAGAAGTCCATAAGCTAATAATTTAAGAAATATTTATGGTTATTCAAATAAAGCACTACAGATTTTCCTTATTTTCTATAAAAAATATCTTTGAAAATGATATCAGTCAACATTCTGGTAAATTCTTACTAAAAAGATCAAGAACTAGAAGGGATAGTTTTATTTTCAAATAAGTCCACTAAGATTAAATGAAAATGTATACCTTTAACTAAGATTAACAAGCTTCATTAATAAAATTTCTATGTATTCCTCAAATGTCAGCTTACAAGAGAGTCTGTTAAAACACCTTTGACACCCATGCCTCTGGTGAAAGGCGGAGAGCACTTCTTGACAGCAACGCCAACTGCTCAGCCACACTGGCCTACAGTGCCAAAACTGCTGCAAAACCAACCCGGTCTAAGCGGGAACAGGAGGATTACCTACACCATCGATGGCTATTTCAGGAACTGTATGAGTAGAATTAAGCGCTACACTGAAAAATATGAATAGATGTTTTCTTCTGCATGTTTAACTTTTTAACCAGTTTTAATTTTAGATCCTTCAACTTCTATTCATAAAAAATTTTACATACTAGACTGGATGAATTTTAATTTAGAGGTACTTGGATATAGTAAAATCTTGCGTTTTAATATTATTATAATAGTAATAGTCGTGTGGCAATCCTAAACTTTACATTTTAGGACTATGTTGTTTCTTTTTTTTGTGAGGAAGATCAGCCCTGAGCTAACATCTGTCGCCAATCATCCTCTTTTTGCTGAGGAAGACTGGCGCTGGGCTAACATCTGTGCCCATCTTCCTCTACTTTATATGGGACACCGCCACAGCGTGGCTTGACAAGCGGTGCGTCAGTGCCTGCCCGGGATCCAAACCTACGAAGCCTGGGCTGCCAAGGCAGAGCGCGTGAACTGAACCACTACACCACCAGGCCGGCCCCAGGACTATACGTTTTTAAGTGAGCCCTAGGAAGCCACTGATAAGGAACTTTTTTATTCATTTATCACATCACAACGAAGTTCAGTAGGCCAGATGGTTTAGCACCTAAGTATTCCAAGGTAGTCAGGAGCGTGTTAGAAATTCAGAACCTCAGGCCCCATCCCACAGCTGCTGAATCAGAACCTGCATCTTAACAAGAGTCTCCAAGTGACTCATATGAAAACTAATTATGAGCAGCAGTTGTCCAGGAGGACGTCTACAGAAAGTATCAATTATGTTGTTTTTGCAGAAGCCAAGAACAGGTAACCCTTCATCCTCTGGAAGAGTCAAAGCATGGGTTTCTGAATACATGGAGTTCCTTCCTAAGACAACCCATTTGGATGGAATGCTTTCTAAAATGGTTTATATCCTTCCACATTTCAGTACACAAGGCATAATGAACATAATCTAGCCCTTCCTTGATGACTCCAGGTCATAATTATGGGCCTTTGGGGTAATATCCCGAATGCCACTGGACTATTATGTGAAATAGTGATTCACATTTCTTAACTCAGAAAAGAAAAAAATCAAAGGCTAAAGGGTGACTTAAATACTATCAGGAGCTTCTAGGAGGAGAATAAGCACTGGTCTCTTATGTTCACTGGGAAAAAAGGAAAACTGACTTAAAATAACACAAAGTAGATTTTATTGGACTGCAGCGGTTCTGCTGATTTTCCAGAGAACAGCCATCCATTTGCCTATTTAGAAACTTTAGATAGTTTCCCGCCAACAGAGGGGTATCTTAATAATCTCTCAAGTCCATTCCAACTTTTCACTTCATTTTAGTAAGTAAAGATATATGATGACAGGAAATTACATGAAAATACCAAAGGCACATTTTTACCCGAATTACTTCTTTCTTGATTTAGAATTGATAAATGAATTATACAGTACCTTGTTTTAATTCTAGCAAGGGATAGAATTAGAAGGGGAAAAAAAACGATGCAAGATTTTCTTCTAATCACCTTTATTCACCAATTCCTACCTTCCCCCAACTAATTACTGGTGACTATCCACCTGGTGATCAAGTCCCTCTAGGGTAGTCACTGACACTGAAGCTACAAAACACCAGTGCTAGCAAAAGAGTGACAAGTGGCCCCGAGCATGCTCTACCTTCTAAACCCCTGCTGTTATGTTTTCCACCAGATTTGAAAACCCTTTGCCATTGAAGTTGAGAGATAAAAGATATAAAGCTCTAACTAAGTGTTTGGTGGTAGTCAATTATGAAACTATCTAAGGGCCTTTTGATGTTTAAGGGAATTAGAATAAAGAAATTTAAAGGACGACAGATTTCAAGAGCAATGTAAAAATATCTTATATAGATGGCATTTGATAATAAAGCGGTTACAGATCTGTTTGTTATCTGTATACTGAATATAAGCACGTCTTTAAATATTCACTCTGACTTACGATTAGCTGAATCTCAAAGATTAAACATGATGGCAAAATTCCCTACATACACTGGCAATTATTTAAAAGAAGAAAAGTCTGTAATAAAATCATGTAAACAACTGATGTAACCTACTTTAAGTAGAAAAAGAAAGCATATACATTTTCAAGGTTTTACAGGATACTTGTAAGATTTTTCTTTCAGCTAAGATAATATCAACATTTAAAATAGAATATGAAGATGCTCCTCCAGCTTTATATTTTAATAGAAATATCTTGAGATAAAATAAGAACACAGAATTAAAACTGGCAAGACGCTTAGAGGCTTTTATTGGTTTTTTTGGCTCACATATAGAAAACCCTTCTGTAGCAAAGAACTTTCTTTAACGTCATTTTAAATTCTGAAAATTAGTCATCTATTTTCTTAAATTCAGCATCATCTGTTCCATTCAGGATAAAGACTTAAAATTTACCTAGTATTCATTTTGTGTGTTTGAAAACCTAAATAGGGATCAAGAACCAAACTGGTTGCTAGGTCATCATTTTCACAGAGTTCCTTGGCAGACATTCCAGAAGATGGTACATATCGACTCTGTCCTTCAAATCCTGAATTACCATTACCTGTGAAAAGAAAAAGAAAAGTAACTCAAACTGAAAACTAGTTAAATCTACCTTAAAAACCTTTAGCTTCACTGTCTATTCAAGGTAGTAATCAAGAACTGAAATAACTTATTGCAATCAGTTTTAGTAATTAAGAACTGAGTACCTTTTGCATAAACAGAAAACCAAATGCAGCAAACTAACACAATTATTGAGAGTATGTGGTTAGCAGATGATGTCATCAGGTTCCCAAGAACAGAATCTGGGGAGCTGTGAGACTCATTGGCTCAGATGCCCTACTTCCCCCCCCAAGGAAGAGATGCGAAAAAGGGATGGGTGGATGTTCATTACTGCAGCAAGACAGCATAAGGGCCATCACAGACAGGGCTGGGGCAAGGAGGAAACAAGAGGAACACCAGACACTCTCGGCAGTAAGTACCAGATGGTAGATCTCAAGTACCAAAAGGAGGAGTTAACTTCGGCTTCCGGCTTTGGGGCAGATGATTATTACCCCCACTTTGCTGGTAACTGAGGCCCAGAGGTTAAGAAACTTGCCTATGATTAGAGCAAGGTAGCAGAATTGGGAAAAGGAGTAGAGAAAGAATGACAGGCCTATTTCCAACTGACCTGTTGGAAACAGATTTTGAATGAATGGATAAAAATAGGGAAGGGAAGTGACTGAAATATATAATTGAAGCAATTGGGTTTAACTCTGGAAGAAAAACAATATAAAGAGAGGAAAGGAAGGCCAAATTTGTATGGATGAAGTTTCACCAGTGCTGAGTTGAGTCTGATGTACGTCACTGACAGTCTTTTCACGGAGTCAGCCCATGTAATTTAGAGAACACCAGCAGTATAACTTGAAGCCTCTCAAAATTGAGATGTGCAAGAAAGAGAGACACAGTGAAAGGTGTAACCTTTTCATCCACTCTTTCAAAAAAACAAAATAAACACTTACATGCAAGTCCCTGCCAAAGGGTAGGAGTACGTCTTGCAATCAAATTATTTTCACGTAGGTATGTGAAAAGCTATCAAAGTCGTTATATTTTCTATAACTGTTTCATTGAAATATAATTCACATACCATACAATTCAACTACAAAAAGTGTACAATTCAATGGTTTTTAACATATTCACAGAATTGTGTAACCATCACCACAATCAATTTTGGAACATTTTCATCACCCCCAAAAGAAACCCCATACCCATTAGCAGTCAATATCCATTTCTCCTTTCGACAGCCCCTGACAACCACTAACCTACTTTCTGTCTCTATGGATTTGCCTAGTTTGAAAATTTCATGTGAATAGAATCACACAATATGTGGTTTTTTGTGACTGGCTTCTTTCAATTAGCATGTTTTCAAGGTTCATCTATGTTGTACCATGCATCAATACTTCATTCCTTAACACGGCCAAATAACATTCCATCGTATGGACATGCCACATTTTGTTTATTCATTCATCAGGTGATAAACATTTGGGCTGTTTCCACTTTTTAGCTATTATGAATAATGTTTCCATGAACATTCATGTAAAAGCTTTTGTGTGTACATATGTTTTCAAATCTCTTAGGCACATACCTAGGAGTGGACTTGCTGGGTCATGTGGTAACTCTATGTTTAATCTTTTGAGGAAATGCCAGACTGTTTTCCAAAGTGGCTGTACCATTTTATGTTCCCAACAGCAGGGAATGAGGGTTCTAAATTCTCCACATCATCACCAAAACTTGTTATTATCTGTCCTTTTGATTCCAGATATCCTAGTGATTGTGAAGTGGTATCCTGTGGTTTTGATTTGCATTTCCCTGATGACTAATGATTTTGAGCATCTCTTCATGTATTGGCCATTTTTATATCTTTGGAGATATGTCTGTCTATTCAGATCCCTTGCCCATTTTTAAATTGGAGTTTTTTGTCTTTTACTGTTGACTTATAAGAATTCTTTTTTTTTTTTTTTTTTAATTTTTCTTCCCCCCAAAGCCCCAGTGGATAGTTGTATGTCATAGCTGCACATCCTTCTAGTTGCTGTATGTGGGACGCGGCCTCAGCATGGCCGGAGAAGCGGTGCGTTGGTGCACGCCTGGGATCCAAACCTGGGCCGCCAGCAGCGGAGCGCGTACACTTAACTGCTAAGCCACGGGGCCGGCCCTATAAGAGTTCTTTATATATTCTGAATATTAGTCCTTTATCAGATGTGTGATTTGAAAATATTTTCTCCCATTCTGTGAACTGTCTTTTCACATGTTCTTGATGGTACCCCTTATATAGCACAAAAGTTTGCAACCTTTATAAATTTCAATTTATCTTTTTTTTTCTTTTATTCCTTGTGCTTTTAGTGTCATATCTAAGAAACCACTGCCTACTCCAAAGTCATGAAAACTTATGACTAGGTTTTCTCCTAGGAGTTTTATAGTTTTAGCTTTGAATTTAGGCTTTTGATCCATCTTAATTTTTCAGATATAGTGTGAAGTCAGGTCCAACTTCATTCTTTTGCATGTGATTATCCAGTTTTCCCAGCAACATCTGTTGAAAAGACTCTCCTTTCCCTCCTTAATTTTCTCGGCACTCTCGTCAAAAATCAATTGACTGCAAAAATGAGGGTTTATTTCTGGACTCTCAATTCTATTCCAGGGATAAACGTCTGTCCACATGCCAGTATAATACTGTCTTGATTACTGTAGCTTTGTAGTAAGTTTTGAAACTGAGAGTGGGTCCCCAACTTTGTTCTTTCTCAAGACTGTTTTGGCTATTCTGGGTCTCCTGAATTACCATAAGAATTTTAGGATCAGCTGTCAATTTCTGCAAAGAAGCCAGTTGGGATTTTCATAGGGATTGCATTCATCTGTAGATCATTTGGAGAGTATTGCCATCTTAATATTAAGTTTTCCAATCAATGAACATCAGATGTCTTTCCATTTATTTAGGTCTTCTTTAATTTCTTTCAACAAAGTTTTGTAGTTTACTGAGTATAAACCTTACACTTTTATTGTTAAATTTATTGCTAACTATTTTTTCTTTTGGACACCACCATAAATGCAATTGTTAACTTCATTTTTTGATTGTCTGTTACAAGTGTACAGAAATACAATTGATTTTTGTGTACTGATCTTGTATCCTGCAACCTTGCTAAACTTGTTTATTAGTTCTAACAGTTTTTTAGTGGATTCCTTAGGATTATCTATACAAGCACTATGTCATCTGCAAAGAGATTGTTTTACTTCTTCCTTTCCAATATGGATGCTTTTTAGTTCATTTTCTTACCTAACTGCTGTGGTTAGATCCTCTAGTACATGCTATTGTACTAGAATACAAGCGGTGAGAACAGATATTCTTGTCTTGTTCCTGATCTTAGGGGAAAACCATTTACAGATCTTCCTCAACTTACAATTGTTATGTCCCGATAAACCCATCATAAGTTGAAAATATCCTAAGTCAAAAATGCATGTGATACACCTAACCTACCAAACATCATACTTAAGCCTAGCCTACCTTAAACATGCTCAGAACACTTACAGTAGCCTACAGTTAGGCAAAATCATCTATCACAAAGCCTATCTTATAATGAAGTGTTGAATATCTCATGTAATTTATTGAGTACCATACTGAAAGTGAAAAAGAGAATCACTGCATGGGTACAGAATGGTTCTAAGTGTATTGATTGTTTACCCTCACAATCACATGGCTGACTGGAGCTGTGGCTTGCTGCCACTGCCTAGCATCACGAGACAGTATCATACTGCATATCACTAGCCTTGGGAAAAGAACAAAATTCGAAGTACAGTTTCTACTGAATGCGTATCATCATAAAGTTGAAAAATCGTTAGTTGAACCATCGTAAGTTGGAGACCATCTGTAGTCTTTCACCATTAAATATGATATTAGTGGTGGGGTTTTCATAGATGTTCTTTATCAGGTTGAAGAATTCCCTTCTATTCCTAGTTTGTTGAGTATTTTTATCCTGAAAGGGTGTTGTCAAATGCTTTTTCTGCATTAGGATGATTGCATGGTTTTTGTCTTTCATTCTACTGATATGGTGTTAATATATTGATTGATTCTCAGATGTTAAATCAACCTTGCATTCCTGGGATAAATCCCACTTGGTCATGCTGTAGAATCCTTTTCATCTGTTGATGGATATGATTTGCTAGTATTTTGCTGAGGATTTTTACATCCATATTTGTTAGAGATACTGGTCTGTATTTTTTTTTCTTGTGATGTCTTGTGTTTCAGGAGCAGGATAATACTGGCCCCATCAAATGAATCAGGAAGTGTTCCCTTCCCTTCTATTTTTTTGGAACAGCCTGTGAAGAATGGGTATTAATTCTGCTTTAAACATCTGTCTTTATTCACCAATGAAGCCATCTGGGGCTGAGATTTTCTTTGTAGTTACTGTTTTTTTTAAATTACTGATTCCATTTCTTTCCTTGCTATAGGTTTATTCAGATTTTGTATTTCTTCTTGAATCAGTTTTAGTTTGTTGCTTTATAGGAATTTGTTCATTTAATCTAAGTTATCTAATTTGTTGGTATACAGTTGTTCACAGTATTCTGTTATAATCCTTTTTATTTCTGTAAGGCAGTAGTAATGTCCCCTCTTTCATTCTCGATTCTTGAGTCTTTTCTTTTTCTTTGGTCAGTCTTGCTTAAAGTTTTGTCAATTTTGTTGATCTTTTCAAAGAATCAACTTTTAGCTTTGTCGATTTTCTCTATTTTCTTTCTATTCTCTATTTTGTTAATTTCCACTCCATTATTTCCTTCTTTCTGCTTGCTTTGGGGTTTAGTTTGCTCTGCTTTTTCCAGTGTTTTAAGGTGAAAAGGTAGGTTATTGATTGAGAGCTTTCTTCTTTTCAAATATAAGTGTTCACAACTATAAACTTCCCTCTACACATTGCTTTAGCTGCATCCCGTAAGTTCTGGTATGTTGTATCCTCATTTTCAATCATGTCAAGTATTTTCTCATTTCCCTTTTGATTTCTTCTTTAACCCATTGGTTACTTAGGATCGTGTTAATTTTCACCTATTTGTGAATTTCCCAAATTTCTGTTATTCACTTCTAATTTTACTCTATTGTGGTCTAAGAACATACACTGTATGATTTCAATCCTTTTAAATTTATTGAGGCTAGTTGTATGGCCTAGTTTATGGTCTATCCTGAAGAATGTCTCATGTGCACTTGAAAAGAATGTGTATTCTACCATTGTAGTCATTAAGAAGAGTTAGTTTAGAGTATTGTTCAACTCTTCTTTCCTTGTTGATCTTCTGCCTAGTTGTTCTATCCAATATTGAAAGTGGGGTACTGAAGTCTCCAAATTATCGTTGAATTGTTTCTCCCTTCAATTGTGTCAGTTTTTGCCTCAAGTACTTTGTGGCTCTGATGTTAGGTGAAGTCGCTGCAGTTTATCTAAGATGGAGCATTGCTTTGTTTCTCTTCATCACTGGCTCTCTTTTTGCCCCATTCTTGCCCAATAACTTTCAATGTGATGCTGTCCATCTTCACACTCTCTGGGTTTTTCCAGTCTATCCCTCTAAATCTGTCTATACTTGGCAAAGTACATTTTGTATCACTCATTTTCTAAATTCTTCTGTACCTCCAATAATTAAACTAATTAAGACCTTTTTGCATTATGATGCACAAAAGGAGGCCAAGAGCAATTTGTAAAAAAAAAAAAAAAAAAAAAAAAGCTTAAGAGATGCCTATTTTACTCACCAGAGCCAATACCACTGTTATAGTCACTACATCTCTCAATTTCCCACCACATGCTAAGGAGTGAGGAGGGGTCCATGCCAAGGAGAATCCATTCAGTCTTGGGCTCTCTCCCTACTCCTGTCTCAAGCAGGGATTTCTCTCCGGTTTTTACAGAGTCAGTGACCTGATCTGATACGGAAAGGTTAATGGCAGTCTGGACCCAATGAATAGCATAATCCCTAAAAAGTAAATGAATCAGAATTGGTACAATCTATCTGAAACTGTAACAAACCCCAGGTTAATGCAAATCTACTGGGAGTAGGTTGATTCCAACACAAACTAAGGCTATTCAGTACTGGCTAAATTAACCTTAAGAAAAGTAAGAAATAGAAAAAGTGTCCTCCTTAACATGGCCATATACTTTTGGACAATCTTATATAGCTGCCTACTCAGGTTTACACTTAGCCAGGGGCATTTTACCACTCTTAAAAGAACTACGAAACCTGTATCAAATCTACCATTTCTCTAACTCTCAACAAGCAGCCTCATCGGCACCAAGAGGTATAGAGGTAAAGAAGTGGCTCATTATCAACAGAGCGTCACTGCCAGCATCAACGACTGTTCACCCTATGTAAATAGAAGAAATGCGGACAATTCGTGAAGCTGCCCTAAATTTCACTTGTCATGTAAATTAGTTGACTTTATTATTCATATTACTCTACAAGTTTTCAAAGAAATACATACTTATACTTACACCAAATATAAAAAACACAGTTTGAACTCATAAGAAATTCAGGAGTAGTACTTTAATACTTTTTATAGCACAAATTAACCATTCAGGTACAAATGCTACAAAACATAAAGTTATGGATATAAAAAATGACCAAGGTTATTATATTAAACATTAAACTTGAGTTGTACACAATGTCTGATGAGAATAAAAATTGACAGAACTCTGAAAGAGTAAAAACACTATACTGTTAACTGTGAGAACGTAAAATTGTTTGGGAAACAGAGAACAGAACACACGTTACGAACTGGAAAGAATTTCCATCCCATATCACAATCAAAAGAACGACAGGTTAAGTGTGTACATACATCTGCTCGACCTCCTCTCGCCCGCGTTTCTGCCAGCCTTCACCGTGTCCTTTCCCGTGTGCTGTACTTTTGATTGAGTCTGCTGATGGTCATTAGACAACTTGCCTCCATTTCTCCTGCCATTCACCACCATGTTCTTGGATTCTCCCAACCACTTCATACCCACAGACAGCCTGACCCAGGTGCATTTAGTCACTCTCTTCAAATAGCTTAGAGAATAATTTCAATGTTCTCTCCTAACAGAAACAAAATATGAAAAACAAAACAAAATGGGGAGGTAAATACATAAAAGACCAAGCTATACAGATCCTTGAGAAAGATACAAAGTATTAAAAGTAATTTACTAATTCATGTTTCCACTCTTTAAAGACTCCCTGGCTCCCCCAGCCATCCGGTGTCATGCTGAGGTCTACAGTGCCCCCAGACTCTGAGGAGGGACTCATTCTGGCTTGCTCATTGCTTGTGCTTCAAATAGCGACTGGTAAATACTAAGTGCTCAATAAATAGTTATCTCTCAGTTACCAGTAAGAATCATCTTTGCTCCTCATTATGCTGATATCTAGGTATACCCCAATAATCTGCTCAAATTACACATTTTGGTAACATTCCATTAACTCCTTGAGTAGACTACAAGGAAGTTCTCTATTCTGTTCTGAGGAAAGCTTAAGAGGCATCTAAATTAAGCTTTGTCCACAACAGCTGTCACATCTTTTCGCTGTTGTTAGTTTGAAGGCAACGGTCAAGGTACAGAAGGGACCAGTAGTCAAATATCAAAGTATTGCCCATCATGAAATGTCTGCCTTAGCCTTCCTTTACAATGGCAACAAAAACTGAGAGATTATTGCTAATACAGCGGTATCCCTCACTATCTGAACTTTAATTAGCTGAACCTGGGAACTGAATAATTTGGAGAGTGACAGCATAACAGATTACGTTTGATGGTAATGGAATGAGAAAAAAAGATGTCCATGAGAGCACCTCATTACGGAATTATACTTTAGTGTACGTCAGACTAAAAGGGCTATAAGATGAGAAAGCAAAAAACAGAGAACTTGAGAGCTAAAGGGAGTTTACGATCCTAGTACAATCCTTTCAATCTGTAGATGGGACTGAGGCCAGAGAGACTGAGGTACACACCCAGTGCCACACAACCAGCCTGAGGCAGAACCAGGCGGAGAAGCCAGCACTGCTGCCCAAGGCTCTCTCACCACACCAAAGGGCAATTTCCCTTATTTTTTACAAACACACAGAAAAGTATAAATGATAAACTATTTTGAAGTACTCCCAGAAATGTATACCTGGACATGCCTTGAATGATACCCACACAAATACAAAACATTAATATTTTTGTGTGTGTGTGAGGAAGATTAGCTCTGAGCTAACATCTGTTGCCAATCCTCTTTTTGCTGAGGAAGATTGGCCCTGGGCTAACATCTGTGGCCATCTTCCTCTACTTTATATGGGATGCCGCCACAGCATGGCTTGATAAGCGGTGCGTAGGTCACTGCCTGGGATCCGAACCTGCGAACCACGGGCCACCGAAGCGGAGCACGTGAACTTAACCACTATGCCACCGGGCCAGCCCGAAATATTAATTTTTACTTGACCTCAGGTCTCTTTTATGTCACAAGAATTTTGTGTGTGAATTCACAGTGGGGTAAAATGTGTATGACATGCTTAGGTAAAAAGGTAAAAAGTATCTGATCCATATTAAGGATACTTTTATCATTGTTCTCTAACATGTATTTTTCTCCTGGTTCCTTCACTATTTAAATTCAATTAGTATTCAACTTTTATTGTGCCTATCTTTTGATCTTATAGGCTGTGCTAAATCCAGAAAAATGCTGCTGCTTAAATAACAGGAAAGGGTGAGTAAAACTACTGACACATCAAGCTATAAGCTAAAGATTTTTCAATTATTACATTTTATCAAATTAAATAAGACCTCCTATAGATGATCAAATATCCTACATTTACACTTAGAAGAAAAGGCACAGAACTCAAGAGCAGCATACTTCTGAAGCATAAAGGCAACGAAAGCTTGGAAAAAAGGCAATGCCCCATGACACTTCTTTTCTCCTCTGCCTGGAATGCAAGGAGCCGGCTTTTTGTCTGGCTAATCCCTTCATGTTCCAGCAAGTTTGCCTTGACCCTCACTGCTGAACCCAGGTAGACACCCCTGCTACAAACGGAAGTAAAAGCCCTTATGTCACTACGTAGTAATGGTCTGTCTGCCTCCTTAATTGACAGAATTCCCAGGGTCAAGAATTTATTTTTCTGGGCCAGCCCCGTGGCTTAGCGGTTAAGTGCGCGCGCTCCGCTGCTGGCAGCCCGGGTTCGGATCCCGGGATCGCACCGATGCACCGCTTCTCTGGCCATGCTGAGGCCGGGTCCCACATACAGCAGCTGGGAGGATGTGCAGCTATGACAGACAGCTATCTACTGGGGCGTTGGGGGAAAAATAAATAAATAAAATCTTTAAAAAAAAAGAATTTATTTTTCTTTTCTCTAGCACAGCACAAAGTAGATCAGAGGCACTCAACTAATTAAAGAATAAATAAATGAGGTTGTGGTTTAAACCACCTAACAGAAACTGTATTTCCGTATTTTTTTACACTGTAAATTAAAGTTACAACCTGACCTCTTTTTTCTCAAGATGCTCACGCTCTTAAAGGCAGTGAGAGAAGCTCCTGCACAGGCACGGACACAGCAGGAATCACAGCCACCACCGTCAGCAACCCCTCTACCCGCTGCCATTACGCTTTCTGGTGTATCCCCTAGCTTTGCAACTCTACAGGAAAGAAGAAGTAGAAGGCGAAGTGCTTTTGGTCCTTTAGGAAATCCATCCTAAGAATGCCCACGTTACACACAACTTAGGGCTAATGACTGAAGAACATGTTTTTAAGACTCTTAGAAGTCCTACTATTCCTCAATGATAAGACATAAAATGTAACTATACGGAATAGAAAACAGCAATGTGGCTTTCGGTAGAATTAAGAGACAAAAGAAATAGCAAGTCATCTCTCCACAGAGAATCCTTAAGTCCCAACCAGGATTCCCACTCCGAGACAAACAGCAGAGAACCTGAGATGAGACCCAGCAACCTGGGTTTGAATACGCTCCAGGTGACTCTGGCGCCAGCTCCAGTGTGAGAACTATTGTTCTGAGTTACTTATTCATTCACCAGATCATCTGTTAGGGCAAAGAACAGATGCCAAATTTTAAGAAAAATTATGAAATAAAAAATTTTAATTTGAGGAAATTATATCTAGCAACCTAATTTTTTTTTTTTTACTAAGAATTAGAAAAAGCTCACCAATAAATCATTTTAGCAGCACATTTCAGCCCAGTTTATGGAACAGAGACCGAAATCCACTCTAACTTATATGTAATTACAACTAAATGTGGGTTAATGATCCAAATTGGAGCAAATTCATAACCCAGGTCTCATTCATATTGTGGTCAATGGAGACTGTTTTGTTTGAACTTCAGGTACCTCAGAGTAACAGGCACGGCCCCCTGTCAGTCAAAGACTGTGCCTAGATTTCACTAGTATGACTACACTACATCTGTCTGCATATATTCCAGCAGAGGCTCCAATACTCTCCACCTGTCCAGATAACAACAGCTGTCATTATGGCAAAAGACTTTACTTAAGCTCACAAATGAATATTTTGTAAAAGCAGTTCTAGTAAAACTATCAGAAATTTGGGGGCTCTTTATAAATTTTGAATTTATGAAATGAATATATACTCTACTAATTATCAGGTCATCGTTTGTTCTGCCCTCACGAGTGTGGAATCTGTTTCGTTGCCTCCATCCTTCCTGTAAGACTACAAGCTGGAAGAAGGGGTACATGTGAAAGGTGGAGACGGAATTTCAAAAGCTAACAGGGCTGATATGGTAGCCGACTGTGGAGACACGGGCTGAAGACACTGGGTGGCTAGCAAAACTGAAGGCTTCACGGCTCCCCAGAGGTCTCCCAACATAAACACAGTGCAGTCTCTCTGGCCCGGAACGCAGCTGGCTCACAGGGAAATACCACCATGGTCTTGGCTTGGTTGACAGTGTCTGGGCTAACTGGCCACTGACTATAATTAGAAGTAAAAATTACCTCAAATTTATCCCAAAATTGGCCAAAAAAACTTTCAAGAAAGGAGTACTAGCCACTCCTCAAATGGCATAACAGCTACAAATCTTTCTCTGTTCTGATTTCCCAATATAAAAATATCAGGAAAATTGTTAGACATATACTATATTCCAGAGACTGTGAGGATACAGCACAGAACAAAACAAGGTTTCTGCCCCCATTTGTGCTTATATTCTAATGAAGAAGCTCAGGGAAATAACAAATTAACAACCATCAGCACCTTGGAGAAGATAAAGCAGTTTCTAAGGGGCGGGGAGCGTCTCAGGTGGAGCAGGGTGTGATGGGGCAGTCCAGGCGGCACCGGAGAGTGCAGCAGGCAGAGAGCCAGCACGCAGCTGAGGGGAGAGCAGCTGGGGTGTCCGAGCACGGAGCAGAGGAAGGGGGAGAGAGGGGCAGCAGGGAGGCTAGAGAGGCAGCCAGAAGAAACAGCATGGCACAGAGGGCCTCGAAGCCCCTGCTGAGACTCGGGCATTGGCTCTCAGTGAGATAGAAAGCAGAGGAGGGACATGACCCAAGCTACAGTTTTAAAGGCCCATGCTAGCTGCTTGTTCTGTGGAGAGGAGCTCACAAATGAATGCTTTTACAAAAGCAGTTCTGATGAAGCTACTAATAATTCGGGGGACCAGAGAGAGAGCACCAGTTAAGAGACTACTGCAATAAACCAGACGAGAGACACTGGCGGCTTGCAGCAGCAGAGGTGGTGAGAAGCGGCTCGTTTCAGGTTTTTGCTTTTCTGAAGGTTTTGCTGAGAGACAGGAATTGCTAACAGATTGTGTGAAAGAACGAGAACTCAAATATCCCTCCAAATGGAAGAATGGAATCAGTATTTACGGAGGTGACAAAGACTACAGGAAGATCAGGTTTGGGCAGGGGCAGGAGAGGTGCAGGAGAAGAGTTTGGTCATGTTTGAGATGCCCATTAGAGACCAAGTGGAGATGGTGAGAGGCAGCGGGATACGAGGACCTGGAGAACAGATCCAAGCAGGATACATAAACTTGGAGTCCGCGTACTAACGGCATTTCAAGCCACGGGACAAGATGAAATCACCTAGGGAGTAAGTACAGATAAAAGAAGTCTCAAGACTGC